GTGCCAGTTGCTCACTAACAGCACGGGGTCCCAACAGTCTGTAAGGCGATATGGATAATTATCGTTAGCCGTTTTTGCTATTTTGTGTACCCTGTGAAAGACGAATATTCCCCCTTTTAGTCGTACAGGCCGTCGGGGCAAATGCCGTTATGGCACACGAGCGGGCGGGAGGGGGGTGTGTGACCAACACCGCCCAACACCACGCCCGGCCGCCTTTGTCTCTCCCGGGAAGCTGCCGTTTACACCCAGCACCAGGTACTCACTGGAGGCTGAGTCAAGGGCGGTTCAGATAAACATTCGCTGGCGCTAGCCGTGAGCGGGAATCAAACTCCGTTCGGCGGCTTCTCAGCGCACTCGTAGCGCGCATCCCTACGTGCAAAAACAAAGGTCACCCGTATAGGCACCACCCACTGTTGGGGCAAGTGCGATCGCTGATTACTTATAAACACACGCACACGGCGCGTAAAGCATTAATTGCATATTACAGCCCTTTCAGAACCCTTCGAGCTAAGAGCGACTAGGCACATTCTGCACCGCACAAAGATCCCCCGTATAGCCTTAACGGGCTGTTGGGGCAAGTGCTGTTAGCGAGCAGCACCTATGAAGGTCGTAACGGGACACGAGCGGGGTGAGTGGCCAACACTACGCCCGGTTGCCTTTGTCTCCTCAATGCTGATGTTTTGTACACACCGCACAATGGATGTATTTAAAGCGTAGCGCTCAAACCACCACTACACGACCGCTCCCCCAACACGCACGCACACACGTCGACATGAAAAAAACAAAGATCCCCCGTATAACCTTGACAGACTGTTGGGGCGAGTGCTGTTTGCGAGCACCTATGAAGGTAGGCACGGCACACGGTACACACAGACACACGCGCACACACACGGAACACACACACACGGTACACACACACACGGTACACACACACACACTACAGACACACACGGTACACACACACACGGTACACACAGACACACACTACACACACACGGTACACACACACGGCACACACACACACTACAGACACACACTACACACACACGGTACACACAGACACACGGTACACACACACACGGTACACACACACACGGTACACACACACGGCACACACACACACACTACAGACACACACTACACACACACGGTACACACAGACACACACGGTACACACACACACGGTACACACACACACGGTACACATACACGGTACACACACACACACTACACACACACGGTACACACAGACACACACTACACACACACGGTACACATACACGGTACACACAGACACACACTACAGACACACGGTACACACACACACGGTACACATACACGGTACACACACACGGTACACACACACACGGTACACACAGACACACACTACACACACACGATACACAAACACACGGTACACACAGACACACACTACAGACACACGGTACACACAGACACACACTACACACACACACTACACACACACGGTACACACACTCCACACACACGGTACACACACACACACTACACACACACGGTACACACAGACACACACTACACGCACACGGTACACACTACACACACACGGTACACACTACACACACACACTACACACACACGGTACAGACACACACTCCACACACACGGTACACACACACACTACACACACACGGTACACACACACACGGTACACACACGGTACACACACACAGACACACGCGCACCTGGGCGATGTGAGCGTGGCCTTACACAAGCCGCCTCTTAACCCCGGCGCAGGGCACTTTGCACGCGGACAAATCTCTCGCGCTGTGCCCGCCGCTCCTCCGTGAGTCGGCGCGTCCCTGCGTCACGCGAGGGTCAAGGCGCAGCCCCTGCAATTTCTTGCGGACGTCACTGCTGACGGGAAGGGCCTCGAGGGGTGCGTTGGCCTACTCTGCCACGCTGCCCCGACGTCTTTGTGAGAGGTGGCATTGCCCACACTTTACCCCACCACACTCAACCTACGACTGATCGATTAACTGGGATTGTATCCTTCCAATACTGCTGGGTGGACCGAGGCGGACGGCGCACCGGGTGATTGAATCAGCATCTGTAGTTGGACTGGAGCAATCCGATGAGCTATGAAGCTCTTTTTTTCACACGCAGATTTCCCAGATTGAAACCGGCGGACCTCTGGATTGTGCTGACCGTGACTCCACCGTGACACCGACTCGATCGTCGTACGATCGCACCAACGAAGCTCACACGTGCGAACGTGTACGTGACCGGTGGAGCTGCACGCCCTAGCGCTCGGCGTGCCGATGCGATATGAACACATCCACCGTCAAAACGCCGCCGAGTGAGGGCTACTCAACTCGAGTCATCACAAACGTGATATGTAACGCATCGGGAGAGAGAGAGAGCACGTACAAACGGAGGAGATGGAGCGATTCGGGAATGTACGCGTAGGGGATAAATGACAACGTTCAAACGGTTCAGAAAGCGATGGGTCTCGGGCTAGACGGAATATGTGATGGACGATTTCCGACTTTAAGAAACGGAGTGACCAGCCGAGGAATCGGAACGCATCCAAGAGGACGCTCACATCGGAGACGGAGCGATGGAATCGGCTGGTGTCTACGTAGGGAATTGCATCGCAGGATCGTGACATGGTCACGGCTCGGGGAGGCGTTCATCCAGCAGTGGATTGATGATTGCTGCTGATGATGACGACGGCGATTTAAAAAAAAAACCAAAACAGTTTTCGTCGCATGTCCAATTGTGCCAAACAACCGTCAATGGAATGACCCAAATATCTTCGTGTTGGAAATGTGTTTTGAGACTCGAGATAATTTGTATTATTATAGCTAATGTGCCTGCTATATTTCGCTCGTCAATAAAGACTTTTCAGGCTTTCCGGAGAATGTGTGTATATATGTACAATCATCATCATCATCTGGGCATGGCACTGGGTGCACTGACATGTGTTCGCTTGTACAGGGCAGTTTTTAAATGGTAATTGACAACAAACACGAGACAAACAGGTTTGGTCTGCATATGCAACACGAGACGGGCTGCACAAGCAGCTGTGGCTAAGAGCTCAGGCTTAATATGCACGTACCCGCAGCTCCATAAATACTACGAACCAAAAACAGTCTAGCCATCATCACTATTATCATTAGCAGCAGCAGTTATGATAAATTAACTGCTGGATAAAAACTCATCTGCGATCCTGCAATGTAATAATGGTGCACATACGCGCCTTTCACGGCATTTGGACAAACCTCTGTGTCCGTATGTAACCGATATAATATCCATGCGTGCGTACCGTGTATATATATGTGTGTACACACCATGTATACAGGAGGAAGCGGTAGTATAACGTCAGCGTGCCTCGCTACGAACCCAGCGACCCGAGTTCAATTCCAGCTCACGGCCACCAACACCAGTGACGATTATCTGAACCGGTCGTGGGCCTCCCCTAGGTCGACTCAGCCTCAAATGAGTACCTTGTGCGGTGTGTAAACATCGCCACTGGGGGAGACAAAGGCGGTCGGGCGTGGTGCTGGCCACCCACCCTCTGGTGTGCCGTGGCGGCCTTCATAGGTGCGACTCGCTAACAGCACTTGCCCCAACAGTCTATTAAGGCTGTATAGGGGATCTTTGTATTTGTATATGTATAAGACGCGAACAAATAAATAAACAAACACACGTTTAAAAATGTGATATCAGCATCTGCCACTGAGACTCGCAGATTATTCAACGTAATTACAAGCGGCTTGTTTCCGATACAATTAATTTGTTTACAAAGACGAATGTAAAATTGTAAAATATATGTAAACATGTTTCTAAAAACCCATAACAGACGTAATTTTACATGTACATACTCGCTAAAAATATTACAAGCAGAACTACACGCACACATATATATATATATATAAAGATACTGCATATCGTTCCAGTAAAGTAAGATATTGCGTGTATGTATACTATGCAATTGCGAAATATAATGTGGCGATTCAACAACTCAGTGCATTCATACAGCGTTGGCGGTGCAACGAATATCGCCTCTAACGTTGACGCCTTGCGCACAACAGCGGCGTGGCAGCCAGCGTATCTGCCGTGACATGTCCAGGTCAACCCCCACGTGAGTTATGTCATTGTTACACCACTCAGACAAACGTCCTCGCGTGTAGCGATCGCCGCCGTGCCACTTTGATGAACGTCACCCGCAGCCGCGCGGAACTCAGCGCCCTTCGTGTCTGTCTGTGTGTGCCGCTGCAATAAGTTTCGGGATAAATACTGCAACTATATCAATCGAAAACAAACAAACAAAAAGACGCAACAACACGCAAGCAATGCCACGGTGCAACGTAAATTGCGAGAAAGCGAGAGAGAGAGATTTGAAAAAATAAACAACGACCCGTTACGCTCGCGCGAGCCTCGGAAAAACCCGTGGCGAATTTCAGCTTCAATGCTGCAGCACCACCGTGGCCACGGCCGCGGTCTAATTGTTGACACTAAACTCATAAATCTAAGTGGGGGCGGGGCTTTTGTGACAACGCTTTAGTCTTTAGAAGGAGGCGGCTACAGGCGGTGGAGGATTGGAGGGGTTGGTGGATTTGAGTGGGTTGTTGTTGTTGTGGTGGTGGTGGGGGAAGTGGTGATGGTGGGAGTAGTCGAAGTCGTAGGAGGTGGTGGCTGGGTAGGGGGGGATGATAGAGAGAGAGAGAAGTGAGGGGGGGTACCAAATCTTTGTATGCAAATGTTTCCCCCGGTAGCCCACGCTCCTCGCCATTGTCACGGCGCAGCGCGATGTGGTTGTCGTTGCGGACGAAGCACTCCATCGGTTGCGGTGACAATCGCACGCCATTTCCCGGAGTCAACTCGCAGCTTCCCCCCCCCCCCCACCACCACTTGACTCGAGCGAGAACCCGCCCACATCTGTACGACCTCCCCTTTGCTCTTCTTACCTAGGGAGTCGCGCCGAGGCCCGTTCGCAGTCACATCCGACGCACGACACGCGACGTGGTCGATCCGGGCGACGTGGAAACGCCCGCGCCACCCATCTCGCACCCCCCCCCCCCCCTACCGCCACCGCCGCCGCAACCTGCAGCCACGAAGCGACTGTTGTTGTGGCTGCTGCTGCTGTCCGCTGTTGTTGCTGCCAAAGCATCGTTCGGGCGGGTTGGCGAGGACTCGTGCGCGCGTCGAGACGCAGCCGAAATGATGCCGCTGCTGCTGCTGCCACTGCTGCCGCTGCTGCTGCATGTCCCGAGCACGCTGCCTGCGTTCCACGTCGCGTTAGTAACCGCGTCTGCGCCGGGGCTAATTCGAGTTTTATAGGCGGCTCTTTGCCCACGAGCAGGCGCCAAGGGGCACTGCTTAACACGCCGTGTATTTAGAATAGCACTTATTGAAACCCATTAAAGAACGGCAACAGCAGCAGCAGCAGCAAATCAATGCATCATTGCGACAACGCCGATATCGACATCTGCAAAAAGCTGACGACAGTCATTCGTACAACTAACATCATCATCATCGCCGCTGTCTAATTATCGTGATGACAGTAGTAATCGTAGCAACAATATCAAGACAACAATAGCAACAACAAAAACATTACCGCGCACATTTACAAGCTGCTTATCAAACATTCGCCCAAACTCTCCGTCCGTGTGCCGGGGCGACTCTGGGTCAGCTTTGCCTCCTGGATCCGTGTTTCCTGTGGTCGTTGTCGTCAATTCAGTCTCCAGCGGGTGACCACATCTTGAACAAAACAACAACATCCAAAAACAACACATTCATACAACACGCCAAATCATGTCGGCGACAATTACCAAGACGAGTTTTTCCGTACGGGACATCTTGGATTTACCCGACTCGAAGGAGGAAGACACCGCCACCGAGGACAGCGCCACGGAGGGCGAGTCGGAGTCGTGCATCGTCGAGCCACGCCGAGAGCCGCGCTGCCCGCCGGCTCCGGGCCCGACACTTGCTCTTGCCAGGCCGTACTTCGATGCGGGAGAGAACCCCTACACCCGCTGGCTAGCCACCGCCGAGGGACTTCAATACTCGCGTGAGTCTCTCTCCTCCTACTCCTCCTACTTCTCACCACCAACACCTACACCACCACCAGCACCCCACTCCGCACCACGCGTGCCGACTTCAGCGCCGCTTGCTCGCGCCGCTGCTGGGTTGTGGGTGTCGCCACTGCCGGCGCGACTGCTTGTGCCAAATATACCGGAGTGACTGCTTGTGCTAAAGCTGCCAGTGACACTGCTTGTGCGAAAGCTGCTAGTGACACTGCTTGTGCTAAAGCTGCCAGTGACACTGCTTGTGCTAAAGCTGCTAGTGACACTGCTTGTGCTAAAGCTGCTAGTGACACTGCTTGTGCTAAAGCTGCTAATGACACTGCTTGTGCTAAAGCTGCTAGTGACACTGCTTGTGCTAAAGCTGCTAGTGACACTGCTTGTGCTAAAGCTGCTAGTGACACTGCTTGTGCTAAAGCTGCTAGTGACACTGCTTGTGCTAAAGCTGCCAGTGACACTGCTTGTGCTAAAGCTGCTAGTGACACTGCTTGTGCTAAAGCTGCTAGTGACACTGCTTGTGCTAAAGCTGCCAGTGACACTGCTTGTGCTAAAGCTGCCAGTGACACTGCTTGTGCTAAAGCTGCTAGTGACACTGCTTGTGCTAAAGCTGCCAGTGACACTGCTTGTGCTAAAGCTGCTAGTGACACTGCTTGTGCTAAAGCTGCCAGTGACACTGCTTGTGCTAAAGCTGCCAGTGACACTGCTTGTGTTAAAGCTGCCAGTGACACTGCTTGTGCTAAAGCTGCCAGTGACACTGCTTGTGCTAAAGCTGCTAGTGACACTGCTTGTGTTAAAGCTGCCAGTGACACTGTTTGTGCTAAAGCTGCTAGTGCCACTGCTTGTGCTAAAGCTGCCAGTGACACTGCTTGTGCTAAAGCTGCAAGTGACACTGCTTGTGCTAAAGCTGCCAGTGACACTGCTTGTGCTAAAGCTGCAAGTGACACTGCTTGTGCTAAAGCTGCTAGTGACACTGCTTGTGCTAAAGCTGCTAGTGACACTGATTGTGCTAAAGCTGCTAGTGACACTGCTTGTGCTAAAGCTGCTAGTGACACTGCTTGTGCTAAAGCTGCTAGTGACACTGCTTGTGTTAAAGCTGCTAGTGACACTGCTTGTGCTAAAGCTGCCAGTGACACTGCTTGTGCTAAAGCTGCTAGTGACACTGCTTGTGCTAAAGCTGCAAGTGACACTGCTTGTGCTAAAGCTGCAAGTGACACTGCTTGTGCTAAAGCTGCTAGTGACACTGCTTGTGCTAAAGCTGCTAGTGACACTGCTTGTGCTAAAGCTGCTAGTGACACTGCTTGTGCTAAAGCTGCTAGTGACACTGCTTGTGCTAAAGCTGCTAGTGACACTGCTTGTGCTAAAGCTGCTAGTGACACTGCTTGTGCTAAAGCTGCTAGTGACACTGATTGTGTTAAAGCTGCTAGTGCCACTGCTTGTGCTAAAGCTGCCAGTGACACTGCTTGTGCTAAAGCTGCTAGTGACACTGCTTGTGTTAAAGCTGCCAGTGACACTGCTTGTGCTAAAGCTGCTAGTGCCACTGCTTGTGCTAAAGCTGCCAGTGACACTGATTGTGTTAAAGCTGCCAGTGACACTGCTTGTGTTAAAGCTGCCAGTGACACTGCTTGTGCTAAAGCTGCCAGTGACACTGATTGTGTTAAAGCTGCTAGTGACACTGTTTGTGTTAAAGCTGCTAGTGACACTGCTTGTGCTAAAGCTGCCAGTGACACTGATTGTGTTAAAGCTGCTAGTGACACTGCTTGTGCTAAAGCTGCTAGTGACACTGATTGTGTTAAAGCTGCTAGTGACACTGCTTGTGTTTAAGCTGCCAGTGACACTGATTGTGTTAAAGCTGCTAGTGACACTGCTTGTGTTAAAGCTGCTAGTGACACTGATTGTGTTAAAGCTGCTAGTGACACTGCTTGTGTTAAAGCTGCTATTGACACTGCTTGTGCTAAAGCTGCTAGTGACACTGATTGTGTTAAAGCTGCTAGTGACACTGCTTGTGTTAAAGCTGCCAGTGACACTGCTTGTGTTAAAGCTGCTAGTGACACTGCTTGTGTTAAAGCTGCTAGTGACACTGATTGTGTTAAAGCTGCTAGTGACACTGCTTGTGTTAAAGCTGCTAGTGACACTGCTTGTGCTAAAGCTGCTAGTGCCACTGCTTGTGTTAAAGCTGCTAGTGACACTGTTTGTGTTAAAGCTGCTAGTGACACTGCTTGTGTTAAAGCTGCTAGTGCCACTGTTTGTGTTAAAGCTGCTAGTGACACTGTTTGTGTTAAAGCTGCTAGTGACACTGCTTGTGTTAAAGCTGCTAGTGACACTGCTTGTGCTAAAGCTGCTAGTGCCACTGTTTGTGTTAAAGCTGCTAGTGACACTGTTTGTGTTAAAGCTGCTAGTGACACTGCTTGTGCTAAAGCTGCTAGTGCCACTGCTTGTGTTAAAGCTGCTAGTGACACTGTTTGTGTTAAAGCTGCTAGTGACACTGCTTGTGTTAAAGCTGCTAGTGCCACTGTTTGTGTTAAAGCTGCTAGTGCCACTGTTTGTGTTAAAGCTGCTAGTGACACTGTTTGTGTTAAAGCTGCTAGTGACACTGCTTGTGCTAAAGCTGCTAGTGCCACTGTTTGTGTTAAAGCTGCTAGTGACACTGTTTGTGTTAAAGCTGCTAGTGACACTGTTTGTGTTAAAGCTGCTAGTGCCACTGTTTGTGTTAAAGCTGCTAGTGCCACTGCTTGTGTTAAAGCTGCTAGTGACACTGTTTGTGTTAAAGCTGCTAGTGACACTGCTTGTGCTAAAGCTGCTAGTGCCACTGTTTGTGTTAAAGCTGCTAGTGCCACTGTTTGTGTTAAAGCTGCTAGTGCCACTGTTTGTGTTAAAGCTGCTAGTGACACTGCTTGTGTTAAAGCTGCTAGTGACACTGTTTGTGTTAAAGCTGCTAGTGACACTGTTTGTGTAAAAGCTGCTAGTGACACTGTTTGTGTTAAAGCTGCCAGTGACACTGTGTGTGCTAAAGCTGCTAGTGACACTGATTGTGTTAAAGCTGCAAGTGCCACTGCTTGTGCTAAAGCTGCTAGTGCCACTGCTTGTGTTAAAGCTGCTAGTGCCACTGCTTGTGCTAAAGCTGCCAGTGACACTGTGTGTGCTAAAGCTGCTAGTGACACTGATTGTGTTAAAGCTGCAAGTGCCACTGCTTGTGCTAAAGCTGCTAGTGACACTGCTTGTGCTAAAGCTGCTAGTGCCACTGCTTGTGTTAAAGCTGCTAGTGACACTCCTTGTGCTAAAGCTGCCAGTGTGTGCTAATGTTGGAGTCAGTGTGCAGGGGAGGTGATGAACACAAGCTGAACGCATTGGTCAATAACACCACTTGGCTCTTAGAGGAATCGAATCTATAATATGCGACGTTTTGTGCAACGGCTCCTCTTCATACCAGGGAGCTGCAATTAATTGGAGTAACCGCCATAGACGTCGCTTGTTACACGCGTGTATAATTCATTTTGGGGGCAGTGTCATTATTGACCAATGTGTTGAGTGTTTGTAGTTGTTGTTGTTAAGTGTGCTTGAGCAACCACTGCCAACGCAGCAGCAGCGGCAGTGCGCACAACAATTGCGTTTATTCGGGTGGTTGTGGAGTTGAGCAGCGTGCACATGTAACCTGTGTATGCCACACTTACGCGTGTGATGATCGCACACGTGTCGAGAAAATGAGAGAGAGAGAGATGTGGGTCCGATGATCGATGTGACGAAAAGTGTCCACGTTGTTTTGGTTAAGTTTCAATGCGTGGCATTATTGACACGCGAGTTTGGTCCATTGGCCGATCAGTTTGTCGATAACGTCGACTTAAATTCACGTAACTTTATTAACAGTGTTACACATATTACTCTTTGGTTCTTTCGGTAAAGCCACGTAGGTAGAAATAAAATAAAATAAAACAGAATCCCGACGTTTCGATCGCAACACAAGCAATCGTGACTTTACCGAAAGAACCAAAACGTATGGATTCCTGCAGTCACGAAAGCTTAAAATCAAGATTTGAAAACATGTTATTTTGCGAGCCTGTTAATTCGTTTCGAATGCACGGATAGGTGTTCATGTTTTCTTTTTCTTTTCACACCGGCTGTAGGTTACTTTAGACCACGCATGCAGCTTCACGACGTGAATAAGTAGGCGATTTAAGCCGAGGCGACTTTAGCGCTTTGGCCGTTCGCGTGCATCGAGTGATTGACGCTACCCCGCCAAATCGTGGCGAATATCGCAGCCACTTTACCCCGAGATCGGGGCTACGAACGCCGCTAACCTCTGCAACAAATCGAATGAAAACGCACATTGCCGAAATGCTATGATTAAAAAATTATCCGCCTAATAATATTCAATTGCATATTCATCGCGGACTTTACCGTACAAAATATACGATGCAACTGTTTTTTTTTTACAATATAAATATAAAGAATGTGAGTTGCTATATTAACGCTGACAATTGCTTCCTGCGCGCGCGTCAACACGCACGCGCACAGACACACACGCACAGACACACGCACACAGACACACGCACACAGACACACGCACACAGACACACATACACACGCACACAGACACACGCGCACAGACACACGCGCACAAACACACGCACACAGACACACGCACACAGACACACGCACACACACACGCACATACTAATACCCAGAGTCACTCTCGAAGACGAGACTAATCCTCTTTGTTTCTCGAGTTCTCGCCTCGTTACATAGAAGAAGAAGAAAGCCCTTGAAACTCGACGCGGCAATGATAGTGTAAATACAAGTCGGGAAAATCGCATAAACGCGCGTCAGTCGGCGAAAGTGGTGCCGATGAGACGGCCCGCGATATGGATCGGGGGCCGCCGTGGCTACGTGACGTACATACTCCGCGGATCGCTCCGTTTCCCCATCGCCTTGTCTGCCAGATCAAAGCAGTCCGCGTGCATTGTTGTTGTGGTTGTTGTTGTTCAGCGGACGCGAACACGCGAGAGAGGCACACAACAACAAGTACACAACTGTGACACAACAAATAGACAACCGAGATGCAACACATACACAGTTTCGATTGAAAGCTTTCGTGACTGCAGGGATTCATCTTCTTGGTTCTTTCGGTAAAGTCACGTAGCAGGGAAATAATAAAATAATAAAAATAAAACATAATAAAATACAATTCTCACGACGTTTCGGCCACAACGCAAGCAGCCGTCCTCAGGTGAAGAACGGGTCTGTGGGAAAGACAGCGTCTAAATGAACACCACCAAGCTTGGCAGCGTATTTTTTAGCTGGGTTATTATTTCCCTTCTACGTGACTTTTACCGAAAGAACCAAGAAGACATACACAGTTGTTACACAACACATACACAGTTGTTACACGACACACACACACACAGTTGTTACACAACAGATACACAGCTGTGACACAACAAAAAGACAACCGAGACGCAACTAATACACAAATAAGACACAACAAATGCACAACTAAGACACAGCAACAACAAAAAACCCGATGCTGACTGTCGTCCATTTCTCCCTTGCGCGTGTGTGCGTGTGCGCGCACGTGTGTACACACGTGCGTGTGTGTGTCTACACGTGTGTTTATGCGCGCGCGTATGTTTACGCACGCACACGCACGCGCGCCCATTATTTAGTACACGGGCTGAACGCGGCGAGCGCACGGAGTCATCAGCACCCGTCCGTGAAGACGCACTCGTCCCCGGACCCGCACGACGGAGCGAGCACGGACGCCTCCAACTGCAGCAGCAGCGGCGGCGGAGGAGGAGGAGGCGGAGGAGGAGGAGGTGGAGGAGGAGGAGGCGGCACGATAGGCGACTTGGGAGCCGGCGGGAGCAGCAGCAGCAAGAAGCGCAAGAGACGAGTGCTGTTCAGCAAGGCGCAGACCTACGAGCTAGAGCGACGCTTCCGACAGCAGCGCTACTTGTCAGCGCCCGAGCGAGAACACCTGGCCAGTCTCATCCGCTTGACTCCCACGCAGGTGAAGATCTGGTTCCAGAACCACCGCTACAAGATGAAGCGCGCTCGAGCCGAGAAGGGTTGCGGCGTGGGTGGCGGGGTGGGTGGCCTTTTGCTGCACCCGGACGGATCTTCGAGCGGGGCTGGCGGTGGCGGTGGCGCTCTGCAGTCTCCACGCCGGGTCGCGGTGCCCGTGCTGGTGCGCGATGGGAAGCCGTGCACAGCCGCGGGTCTGGCCGCGTACGCGTGCGCGGCTGCGCAGCCCGCGGTCCACCTGTCCCGCTTCGGCGCGGCGCAGTACGGAGCGGCCGCGTACCCGGCCTACGCAGCCGCGTTCCCTGCGCTCATACAGACCCAGCAGTGGGCGTGGTGAAGCGTGCGAACTCATGGTGGTGGTGGTGATGGTGGTGATGATGCCGATGCTGCTGAACACTCCGCTGCCTGCCACCCCTGATGGCGGTGAGGAAAACTGTGATTCGACGAAGAGGAAGGAGGTGGTGGTGGTGATGGATGATGAGGTTGGGGAGGAGGACTGTGAGAAATGTATCTATATATCTATATATAATGATGATTATTATAATTATAATAATGATAGCGATTACGCAAAAAATGTCACTGTAAAGCAAAACCATGGACACGGCTTTGCAACGAATGGGCCGGCAAACCCCTTGCGAGAGACTGCAACATTGACACTTGTCTCTATAGGATTTGTGAGTGTGCGCGATGTTTACAGATTTGTAAAGAACTCTTTCGATATGCCAACCAACCAACCAACAAACAAACGAACACACCAGGATATATATGTAAAAACGGCAATTATAAAACTGTGAGATAGGAAATGACACACTCGTAAAAAAAAAAATCAGACATCGCAGTACCTATAGGTCGTGCAAAACGTGTTAGCTCCTGTGTGTCGTCTGTGTAACCGTCCGATTGAATTCGTAATTGACATTGTACAAGATGCAAAAATAGTAACGTTTCGCGTTCTTTTTTCATACACACACACGCGAAAAAACACTTAAGTTATGATATCTTTAAGAGCGTGTTTATTTCACGAGGCGATCCTGTGTGTGCAGGTTGGCGAGTTGCGTGTTTTGAATTCGCGGTTTTGAAACGAGTCCATCAACCAACCAACAAACGACGATAACAACAATAAGACATTTGCGAGACAAGCTAACATTTGTTCGAGGACCTGAAGAATATTGTTTCTCCTTTATTTTTTACACACACAAAAAAACTAAGCAAGGGTTCAATAAACACTTTACATAATAAACTGAAAGAGAGAGAGAACGAGAATGCGCTTCATGAATTCACCCGCGGAGTCTCAGATCACGCGTAGGGCACCTCTCTCTCTCGCCACGCCGATAATTGCTCCACACACTGGTTCTCGTCACGATATCATAAACATTTATCACCGTACGTTTTAACTTCTTTCGCACCGCACGTAGCCAAACCGTGCTCGGATGTGCGGGCGGCTGGGGGGGGGGTAAGGAAAACGAACTGTACCCGTGCTAAAGAAATTCGTTTTCAATCTCGATGATTTGAAAGTTGCGTAGCTTTCATTGGCATCCCGATATCGGAAGGGGAAGAGCGTTTTCGACGGCCCCAGAAACGGCGCATCTGAAAGCGCCACGCGATGCCGTGGCCACCGCCTTTGTCGTCGGCCGAGTAGCCAAACGCCGCTGCTGCTGCTGCCGCTGCTGTAAGAATCACACCGGAGTTCGCGTGATGGTTCATCTTATATTTTATTACGTAATAATCTATATCGATAAATAATAATGATTTGAAGAATTTTTTTATTTATCACTTCACTATTTATATACATCTTATAGAACAGTTGTTGACGAACTTTGGCAGTGTGCGTGTTGTTCTTCGTCAGTGACGGAACCTCACGGTGGAGGAGCACACGTGTTTATTATTGGTGTTGTTGTTATTATTGACTCGGCAACAGCATCATCATCACCACCACCGCCGCCGCCGCCGCGATGGGAGATTAACCCTTCAAGCGCGCGGAGATTAGAGGCCGAGAGGAAACCCATTGACGATGTTCACCTAAACACGCCGTCGGCTTTAATCTGGCGTTAGCATCACAGACGCAGATCCTCCGTATAGCCTTTGACAGACTGTTGGGGCAAGTGCTGTTAGCGAGCACCTATGAAGGCCGGTACGGCACACGAGGGGGTGGGTGACCAGCACCACGCCCGGCCGCCTTTGTCTCCCCAGTGGCGACGTTTACACACCGCACCGAGGCCTGAGTCGACCTAGAGGAGGCCGAGGATCGGTTCAGATGAATCGTCACCGGTTTTGGCCGTGAGCATGAATCGAACTCGGGTAGACGGGTTCGTAGCGCAGTGCGCGAACCGCTACACTACCGCTCCACACACACGCGCGCACACATACACACGCAAGACAAAGATCCCCCGTATAGCCTTAACAGACTGTAGGGGCAAGTGCTGTTAGCGAGCACCTATGAAGGCCGGAACGGTACACGAGGGGGTGGGTGGTCAGCACCACGCCCGACCGCCTTTATCTCCCCAGTGGCTATGTTTACACACCGCACCAGGTACTCATTTAAGGCTGAGTCGACCTAGGGGAGGCCCAGGATCGGTTCAGATAATCGTCACTGGTGTTAGCCGTGAGCGGGAATCGAACCCGGGTCGCCAGGTTCATAGCGCAGCGCGCTAACCGCTACACTACCGCTCCCCGACACATACACACACATACACACGCGCGCATTGTAGTTCAGGCGCTCCACGCGGTTGATGGATTTAACTTAGCCCCCCGAAGCTGTAAACGGGGCGCTGAAGACGTGGGCTGAGACACGAAGGACGGCGCACCGTACGCACGTACGCTGAACTTCTTTCGCGCCGTACGTAGCCAACCGTGCGTTGGCGTCTGCGCCTCAAGTTTCGCGACGCGGGCCTCTTGGGTTTACGACATGCGCGCTTATGTTGGGTCGTGACGGGGGCTCTTTGTTTTACGCGCCGCAGTTTCTGATCCCTCACCAAATGCGGCGAAGTGACGATTGAACCTTTTATCCGGAACGCTTCTCCCCACCCAGCCCCCCCCCCCTACACCGTCGGGAATTCTCTACCGGTTGAATTATTTTGTCAACGCCATATCCGGGCTCCATCTTCGCCTCATGTGATACCCGTACCAATTGTGCCCCTCGCATAATTGTAGGATTATTATAATTGGGGTGCAATAAAATTGGAGTAATTTATAAAAGGTGTAATATTCTACTTTGGCGGTAGTAGTAGTTGTAGTGGTAGTGCCTTACGCCGATAATCACTTCCCCGACCCGGCCTCGGCAGGTTTTGCGGAAATTATCGAGTGATCTATGTAAGGCCACTGCAATATCGCACGGTACACGATGCATAGATATCGATCCCTTGTGCACATGCTCACGTCCACGGCGTCCTTAGGCCGGATAGGAACACTGTAGAAGTAGTTTTGAGTGAGCCTATGACGTGCATACCGTGATAAACAAGTCTTTTCCACGGTGTATAAATAAGTTCGGATTGGTCTAAGCAGAACATACACAAACATATATACATATACGTATGTGTGTTTGTGAGTGTAACTCGCTTGTTGCGTTCACTTATACTGTACTCACAGTACTTAGAGGGGAGGATCGACAATTCAATGAAAGCTGTGATCGTGAGAGAATTATAGAGTGACTACGTAAGTATATACCAGCATTACTCTGCCACTTCCATCATGAGATAATATTGTATCTTTATTAATAATAATAACAACAACAATATCGGACGAATATTGAACAAAAGATATCGGAACAAATTCAGCCCATGATTTCCGTCTACCTCGTTAATACGAGGGTTAGTTGGTTATCGCATGCTACCTTGTACCTCCGATCAGTGCGGTTGGCTACGTACGGCGCGAAAGAAATTCAGCATAACATACACACACACACATGAAACTTTTCTGAGAGCTCCTGGCCTCTTCGCTTAATTACCTCTCAGCTGTTTATTTATTTTTGCTGACTGGTCACCGTGACCCAAGACAAAGACAAATATCGCCCGTATAGCCTTAACAGACTGTTGGGGCAAGTGCTCTCAGCGAACACCTGCGAAGGTCGGCACGGCTCACGAGGGGGGCCGGTTGGTCAGCGCAACACCCGACCGCCTTTGTCTCCCGAGTGGGCGATGTTCACGCACCGCACTAGGTACTCATTTTGAGGCTGAGCCAACCTAGGTGAGGCCCGGGACCGGTTCACATAACCGTCATCGGTGTTGGCCGTGAGCGGAAATCGAACTCGGGTCGCTGGGTTCGTAGCGCAGCGCTCAAGTTGCTCTACTACAGCTCCCCAAACACACACACACCTTTATTTATTTGTGATTGTGCAATACTTACCACTGATGTATTACTTTCTGGATGTAATACCCCGTAATTATTGGTCATTGTGTCCATAATTGAACTTCTTCATCCACTCGTGTCGCGCTCCGCCGATCAGCACGGTTGGCTGCGCATGTTTGCGAAAGAGAAGTCCCAAAACAGAGTACGCACATTAACTGAAGCCTCTTCAGTTGGCGCGACGCGGCCGACAGCATCGCGAGCACACGAACGGAGCATGTTAACAACTCGTGTGCCCCCCCTCGTCAACTTTCACTCGGTGGTGGCGTCAGCTGCGTCGAGGTTGCACTGGTTGTCACGCCATCGCCTCTGTGACACACATTGAATGCGCCTGCAACTGTTACTCAAAGCAGCTGAACATATAACCACGCGCACACACACGCGCGCACATTCATTACACGTGCTAGCAGAATGTATTCACCATAATATAGGTTTTTTTGGGGGGGGAGGTGGGGTTAGATCGCGTAAGTATAAATGCGTCGTTAAACCCGCCACCACCCGACACAGCCAATTAGTAAGGTTTGTCACGTAAACAGAACGTGCCAATTCGTTACTCGGTCGAATTGCTGTACACTACCGCCGGCGCTGTATATTAACACGTACGTAGATTATACACAAGCACGCACGCGCATTGCACGTACAAAGATCCCCCGTATAGCCCTGGACGGACTGTCGGGGCAAGTAAGTGCGAATAATCTATTTGAAAAAAAAGTCGGGCACAGATGCCCTCGGTAGAGCCTTCACAGAATGTTGGAGAGAGCATCTATTGCGCGCGCGCGCACACAGACAAAGACAAAGATCCCACCTATAGCCTTAACAGACTGTTGGGGCAAGTGCTGTTAGCGAGCACCTATAAAGGCCGGCACGGCACGCGAGGGGGTGGGTGGCCAACACCACGCCCGGCCGCCTTTGTCTCCCTAGTGGCGATGTTTACACATCGCACCAGGTACTAATTTGAGGCTGAGTCGACCTAGGGGATTCCCAGAACCGGTTTAGATAATCCTCACTGGCGATGGCCGTGAGCGGGAATCTAACCCGTGTCGCCGGGTGCATAGCGCAGCGTAGCGCTAACCGCTACACTACCGCTCACACCACACACATACACACACGCACGCACATCAACACGCGCGCGCACTCACATTAAACCCCTATACAGGCACGCACACATACCGAGGCAGGCGTGTGTTACGAGTCGCGCCGTGCGCGTGTAAGTTATGGGAGAGAGAGAGAGAGCCGTAACGCTGGCCCCGCGGTTGTTAACAGGAAAGGGGCGGACAATAGAAATTGTCTGGGCGATGTTCAAGGCGTGCATTTTAATGAGGCCGAGCCGGGTGGCCCCCCCTCCTCCTCCTCCCCCCATTGTGGCCGTGCCCCGCGTCTATCTGTCGGCGGACTCGGAGGGCCGCGTGAGACCTTTGTTTTACGCGCGGTCGCGCAGCCGCGTCCCATATGGGTCGATAAGTCCCTCCACCCCACCGCTCTCCGACCCCCTCATGTCCCCCACGTGTGCCCTGCGCGTGGCTCGACGCTCGGCGCGTTCATGCGTGATGTGACGCACGGGGCGACGTGCGTGGTGCATGGCACGCACACATACACGCACGCACGCACGCACACACACACGCACGCACACACACGCACACACACACGCACGCACGCACACACACGCACACACACACGCAAAGATGTCCCGTCTAGCCGTTAACAGGGCCGTTGGGGCAAGTGCTGCTAGCGAGCACCTATGAAGGCCGGCAGGGCACACGGGCGGGTGAGTGTGTGGCCAAAATCACGCTCGGCCGCCTTTGTCTCTCGAGTGGCGATGTTATCACACCGCGCGAGTCGCTCATTAGACGCTGAGTCGACCTTGCCCAGGACTGGGTTTTAGGTGATTGTCACTGGTGTTGGCTGTGAGCGGGAATCGAACTCGGGTGGCCGGGTTGAGCAGCGTAGCTGAGCGCGCTACTGCCGCCTGCCCACACGCACACGTGACCCACGCGCACGATGTGTTACACACGTGCATACATCCAGGCGTGCTA